TCCCCCCCCCCCCTTCCCCCAGATGGGCCTGGGCTTCATGCAGTTTGGCTTTGTGGCCATCTACCTCTCCGAGTCCTTCATCCGGGGCTTCATGACGGCTGCCGGTCTGCAGATCCTGATCTCGGTGCTCAAGTACATCTTTGGACTGACCATCCCCTCCTACACAGGCCCAGGGTCCATCGTCTTTGTGAGTCCAGGACTGTGCCTTGCGAATGGGGAGGGGCTCAAGCTAACACAACAGCCAACCTCACTCTTTGAAGTAGTTGTACACTTCTCATCATGAGATGCTCTCAAGCAAGGGCCAGCTGTCCCGGTGTTAGGAGAGGATGCTGAGAGGGTTCTCACATTAAGAGGGAGGGTCAAATGCACGACCTCGAGGGCTGGGTAAGGTTCTCTGTGGTTAATCCTTGCAGAAAAGGAGAGGTACACTCTTCATCAGTTCCCCCTTCCACTGCCTGGGAAGTCCTTCATTATGTCTTTAATGATCCCTCCTCCTTCTAGAGAAAGAGAAAGGGAATCAACATGCCTATCCCAGCATGAGCTCCAGACGTGCCCTTTGGGAGAAGGCAGTGGAAAATGGTATAGTGTTCCTGACCACGGTCCAGGTTCTGCTTTGGCGTGCCTCCATGAGCACTGACGATATCCCTTCATGGGGTCAGACATCCAGTGGTGGAGGTGGTGTGGGAAGAAAGGGTGGGAGCCCATAGGCATGATGCTCTCTCCACCAGACCTTCATTGACATTTGCAAAAACCTCCCCCACACCAACATCGCCTCGCTCATCTTCGCCCTCATTAGTGGTGTGTTCCTGGTGCTGGTGAAGGAGCTCAACGCTCGCTACATGCACAAGATCCGCTTCCCCATCCCTACTGAGATGATTGTGGTAAGGACCTGGCCTGGGGCTGGGCACTGAGGGCCAGGAAAGAGAGGCCATGAGAAGAGGCATCCAGCTCCAGCCAGGGCCAGGGAGCCCCTACCCACCCTCAACCCCCTCCAGTGTCAGCCAGTAGAGCATGAAGTCCAGGGTGAATCCTTTCCATCCCCCTGAATTTGACTCTCTTCCTATTCCTTGGGGTCGTCCCCCTCAAAGAGGCAGGCAAGTGGGATTTGGGGTCCCAGAGAAAACGGAGGCTTGGGAGAGAGCCCTGCACTGACCCCAACTTTGAGCCAGTCCCCATTTTCCGCTTTGGGGTTTGCAGGTGGTGGTGGCAACAGCTATCTCCGGGGGCTGTAAGATGCCCAAAAAATATCACATGCAGATCGTGGGCGAGATCCAACATGGGTGAGTCCAGGGGGCTGGAAAGTGTGATGCCAACCCCACCGCACTCCCCAGCGAGGCCTGGGCTCAGAGGCTGAGCTGAGAGGAACCCTATGACAGTGCATTATAAACCCTATGACACTGACCAGCTATGAATTGCTACTATTACTTATTATGAGAAGAGCCACACGGGGCAAGGCTAGCTGTTTTATGAACAGTCTTAACTGCCACACTCACCCCAGAAGTATTCGATGGATGCTGTTAAAGCAACGCCTCTTAGATCAGCCTTTATCTGGCTCTTTGCCCTGTTCTAATGCATTGACTCTTTTTATCCATGTGGACAGGAAGCCATTGGATAAACCAAATTCATTAAGCGTCCATTCTGTGCCAGGCAGCAAACTGGGCCCTGGAAGGGCTCAGGCAATGCTGTGCTGCAGAGCAGGGGAGGGGAGGGTGATGTTCACAACTCTGGGGGCTAGTAAGTGTAAAGGGTCCAGAATCTGGGTGTGAACAAACAAGGTTGTGCCAATTACTGGCTCTGTGACCTTGAACAAGCCAGGCCTCTAAGCCTCCAGTTCTTATTTTGTCAATGGGAGTGATGGCCTACAGTGTTGTACTGAGGACTCAGATCGAAAGGGTAACCACGTGAGACCCTGGCACACAGTGGGGCTCTGCTAGTCCCTGTGAGTTGCTGAAGGACTCGGTACCCTCCCTCTCCTCACACCCTTGGGCCCTGCCTCCTCTCTGGCTCCTTGGCAGGTTCCCTACTCCTGTGTTGCCTGTGGTTTCTCAGTGGAAGGACATGGTTGGCACAGCCTTCTCCCTGGCTATCGTGGGCTATGTCATCAACCTGGCTGTGGGCCGGACCCTGGCGAGCAAGCACGGCTATGACGTGGATTCTAACCAGGTAGGTCCAGCTACCCCTGACAGGACTGAACCGGATGGGCCAAGGCCCAAGAAGCCTGGCAAAAGATATCTTGGGGCTCTGGACTGAGGTGAGGAAGGCTGCCTGCCAGTGGGGAGAGGGTCTCTGATCCCAGGAGCTGACCTCTGCTTGATTGGGAGTGGATGGCTTTATAGGAGTAGGTCAGGTCTTAGGCCCAAAACCCAGCTTGAATGGCTAACTCAGTTTGGTCCACTCCCTGCCACCCTGTCCCCACACCCCCAGCACCCAATCCTGCCCTTGTCGCCACAGGAGATGATCGCCCTAGGCTGCAGCAACTTCTTTGGCTCTTTCTTTAAAATCCATGTCATTTGCTGTGCTCTCTCCGTCACTCTGGCTGTGGATGGAGCTGGAGGAAAATCCCAGGTGAGCACTATACCAGGGGAGAGGGGGAGGGGAACAGAACAGTTGCCCAGAGAATCTCAGAAACCTGCAAGCCAGGCCAGCTGCTTCTCCCACCTTCCTCTCTCTTCCCTAGTCTCCACTCCACCAAAGGCATCTACTGGAAACAAATCAAGAGCAATACTCTCTATTCCCAACTCTTTCTCTGAACAGGTGGCAAGCCTGTGTGTATCTCTGGTGGTGATGATCACCATGCTGGTCCTGGGGTCCTATCTGTACCCTCTGCCCAAGGTAAGAGCCCAGCAGGAGAGCAGAGGCCAGCAAAAGACTCCAGTGCGAGCAACCCCTAAGAGTTATGCAGCGCTTTACAGATTGTCACAACCTGTGTAGTAGACAACATGGGTTTACTCTCCCCATTTTACAGGTGGGAGAAACTGAAGCTGCGAGAGTCTAAGTGATGCTCCTGGGGTGGTACAGCTCACAAGTTCAGGGCTGGACCCAGGCTCCAGCCTCCAAACAGTTGATTTGATTCCCCAGTCTGCTGACAAGTGCCCGTGAGCACCAGCATGGGAAGGCTCTAGCCATGGGCCATTTGGGTGTGAGAGGAGAGGGGAAGGGTGAAGAGGGACCAGGATGGGCCCCATGGCTCCAGCACCTGTGCTTTCCAATCCTAAGCCTGAGTGCAGAGATCTGGGAGCTCTGCCGGGAAATGTTCTAGAATTCCAGCTCTGTCCTGCCAGGCTCCAGGGTCAAGTGTGTTTGTAGGAAGGGCAGCAAGAAGGGGACACCCCAGTGACAGGAACAATGTTCTGCTTCCCTAGTCTGTGCTAGGAGCCCTGATAGCTGTCAACCTCAAGAACTCCCTCAAGCAACTCGCCGACCCCTACTACCTGTGGAGGAAAAACAAGCTGGACTGTGTAGGTACTGGGCAGCCCCTGGGTACCTGTCTGAGCCCTGCCCCCTTCTCCGACCTCACGGCCCTGTCACTTCTCCTGTGAATGATCTCTCTGGTTAGCTGATCTGTGATCGGCATTGCCAAGTGCTAAGAGTTCAGGCTTTAGCGTGGGGCACCCTATGTTCAAATCCTAACTCAGACATTCACAGGCTCCATAGTCAACAGCAAGTCTTTTAACCTCTCTGAGTCTCAGCTTCCTCATCTGTGAAATGGATATTTTATACTCCCTACCCTCAGGGTTGCTTATGTGGAAGAAATGAGACCATACAAGAAAGGAACACAAAGTCCAAATTGTATGTTGTGCTCAATTATTATTTTAATAATAATAATACCTAGCTATTATTTTTTTAATTTATAGTTCCAAAAAAAAGCAAAAATAAGTAGCTTAAAACAAAACCCCTAGAACATAAAGCCAGCAGAGCAGAGTCTTAAGGGAGTACCAGACTTCTCTGGAGTTCTATTTCCTCATCTGTTATGGGGGTGACGGTCGTGGCTGCATCACACACTGGTTCTGAAGATTAAATGAGATCACAATGGGAAAGCACCATGTGACCATAGAACACTCTCCAAACATGACTTATGTTATGATGAGTCACGTTCTCACCACATCTTCTGCTAGGCAATAGGAAGGAGGCTACCACATATTGACGACACAGCATTATCCCTACTTAAGCCTCACCATAACCTTTGAGAGAGGACTTGCTAATCTCCTTTCGAGATGATGAAACCAAGGCTCAGAGAGGTTAAGTAACTCACCAAAGGCCACAGATGTAGTAAGTGGCAGGGTCAGGATTAGAACTCCAAGTGTTGGATTCCAAGCCTCTGGGCTATACTGTCTCCTAGGGGAGCCAGAGAAGTGAGTGGTCCACCTGGAGTCCCCCAGTGAGTGAGTGAGTGAGAGGTGAGGAAAGGAGAAAAACCGTGTCCCAATTCCCAGCCCACCAATTTGTTGCTTTTACCCCATCCCAGTGATCCCTGGCTTGACAATTAGTCCCAAATAGTCAAAGTGCTTTGGGTTCCCATCTGATCCTCACAATTCTCTACAGAAATTGGGTAGATTTATTTTCCTTTGAGAAATTTGGGAAACTCTAAAGGACCATAGGGGGCAACCATCAAAATGGAATTCAGTTCTGCCCCCACCCACCAGGCCCCAGGCCATCAAGCCAGGAAGCATTGCTAAGCCTGTGTTGGGCATACATAGCTTAGTAGATGGAGAAAGGGAACTAAGTCTATTGATCACCCATTGGGTGCCCATCACTAGGCTAGGACCTCTATGTTTCTTAACTTGTTAATCCTTTCATGAAGGAGGTATTATTATCCCCCCCGTGGATTAGGCACCTAAGGCTCACATAGCTAGGAAGTAGGAGAACGAAACTTGGAGCTCAGGACTGACCCTAGACTTTTGCTCTTATTATTGCACCCTCTAAGACCTGTGTGTGCCGGACTTGTCTGTTAAAAACCAGACAAGATCAGGGAGCCACACTCAATCTAAGGGAAATGGACAAATGTAACCAAAACATAAAACAGTGCAAAAATGGCATGAAAATGGAAGGGTGGGTCTGGGTTGTGCTAGCAGAGAATAGCCTTGGCAAATCCAGAAAGACTTCCTGAAAGAGGCAGTTTTCTTCCCAGGCCTACTTTCACATCTCTTTCCTCACAGTGTGTCTGGGTGGTGAGCTTCCTCTCCTCCTTCTTCTTGAGCCTGCCTTACGGCGTGGCGGTGGGTGTCGCCTTCTCCATCCTGGTTGTGGTCTTCCAGACCCAGTTGTAAGTAACAGTCCCTGCCCCATGCCCAGGCCTGGCCCAGCCACCGTACCCTGCAGCCTTCTGGGCCTGGCACTGGAGGTGCTGCCAGGCCTGAGGAGAGCCTAACCCAGGCAGGACTATGGGCGCAGGCTGGGCTATCTGACTTCCCATATCCTGAAAACCCCAGAGGAAGCCATTGTGGTCTTGGAGGGCTGGGGACCAGAGAAAGTAGGAGAAGAGCAGGTGGGTAAGGATCAGTGTCCTTCCAAAGGTACTTCCAGACAGCAGATCAAATGGGACCCCACTCTCGGGGAATATGAGACCAGAGGACACATGCTGTGTCCTTCTAACAAAACTACATAGAACATTCCAGGGGGTCCAGGCCAGGGTAAGAAGGATGCCAAATGTTAGGGAAACCCTGCCTTCTCTTCTGGAGAACTCAAGACCAGGAAGTGGTGATTTTAGGGCCACTTAAACTTGTCACCATGTGTACCTCCACCCCTTCTCCCTGCTAAGCCCCAGTTTGGGAGCTATGTCAAGGGCCTGTCATCCCTCTGGTTATAGCTCAGCCACCAAGCATGCGTCTCCAGTGCAGGAGGACAAGCTCAGCATCCCAGGGGTGAGGAAGGGACCCTCTCCTGCCCTGCCTCTGCCCCAGCCCCCAACCCCAGCACCACCCCAGGCCTGTTCACTACTAGCACTCACTTGTGTTTTTTCTTCTTTATCCAGTCGAAATGGCTATGCTTTGGCCCAGGTGATGGACATGGACATTTATGTGAATCCCAAGACCTACAATAGGGTGGGTGATCCAAGCTTATGAACATCTTCTTTTGCCCTTCCCCCACCCCAAGTAGAAGAGGGGTTTTTAAAAATAAAAATAAAAATCAATAAAGACATTTCTGCCACCTGAACTCAGTCTCCCTGTCACAGGTCCAGGAAATCCAGGGGGTTAAGATCGTCACTTACTGCTCTCCTCTCTACTTTGCCAACTCGGAGATCTTCAGGCAGAAGGTCATTGCCAAGGTAAGTCTCAGTCCTCTGGTGATGAGAAAGGCTGGACAGAGAGGAAAGAAGATGGAAGAAAGGGGCCTGGGAGCCAAGGGCAAGCTTCCAAAGAGAGTAGAGGTCAAACCTGTTGACTCTTTCCCTACAGACAGGTATGGACCCCCAGAAAGTGTTGCTGGCCAAGCAAAAGTACCTCAAGAAGCAGGAGAAAGGAAGACTGATGCCCACGCAACAGAGGAAGTCTCTATTTATGAAAACCAAGGTGAGCTGAGGCTAGGGACAGCCCATGCTCTCTCCCCTGCCCTCTCTGATCTTGCACCCTGGTGCGCTTCCTCCCAGCACCCTTCAAGGCAAAGACAAAAGTCTCTGTGGACATTGCTTGGTGGTCACTGGCCATTCTTATCCTTAGGTGAGGGGATGCAAGCTCCCATGTCCCCTCATTCTCTGTTTAAGAAAGGATATGACCCATGGACTTATGAACAACCCCAGGAGGGGAACAGCAGTGAATTTCCCAGGGTACCCAGCCAACCCAGAGCAGCATGTGGAGACGGGTGTGGGAGGTACAGGGAGAAACAGACAGGCACGGACAAATGCAAAAAAGGGCTCGATTATTTTCAAAGGGCTCTTTCCCACAATAAAGTAGGCTGTGGCTTCAGTGACTCTCTTAGAAGGATCCTCCAACTTTGTCTGGGTTGTGAGAGACCAAACAGGAGCCCCCGCCTGAGCAAGGGGCTTTGGGAGTTGCCTCTCCCGTGAGGATTTTGGGGCTTGTATTCACCATAATCAAGTTTAGTGATTCTCCTTGGCCCTGCTTGAGCCACAGCAAAGTTTCGTTCAGTTTGCTGATCTCCCATCCCTCCCCCCCAGACTGTCTCCCTGCAGGAACTCCAGCAGGACTTTGAGAACCCCTCCCCGACTGACCCCAACAACAACCAAGCACCTGCTAATGGTGCCAGCGTGTCCTACATCACTTTCAGCCCTGACGGCCCCCCAGCTCCCCACTGTGAGCCACCGGCCCCTGCTGAGACTCCCAGTGAGCCCAATGATGTGCTGGCCAGCGTCCCGCCCTTCCTCACCTTCCACACCCTCATCCTCGACATGAGTGGAGTCAGCTTTGTGGACTTAATGGGCATCAAAGCCCTGGCCAAGGTGAGGCCCTTAGGCAGAGGGAGCACTGGTCACCCCCACGCACACTCTTACTCTGCTCTCCCGCTCTCCATTTCTTGGAGCATTCATTCTAACAAGCTGAGGAAGGACATATGCCAACAAGACTCAAGGTCCCTTAGGATCTGTTTCTCTCAGATGTGACCAGGACAAGATGCTCTCTGTGCAGAGCAGGCCCAGACAGCCCAAGACAATTAGTGGCTGGAGAGGGAGACCTGAGGTCCAGGCCCTGCTGGTCGTACCCCTCACTACCAAAGGCCATCCCAAGTTCCCTCTCAGGCCACCAGGAAGCCACCCCAGGGTCCTCTGAGTAGAGTCCAGTTTGGCCCTTGTTTATGGTCTGCTGTCCCTTCCCACACTCACCCAGATACTCTAGCAGCAGCCAGTTCCAGCCAGACTAGGAGGGAAGAAATAATATCAGTGCCTTAAATCCTTGGCCACTCGGGCAGCCCATGGGACAGCTTGAATAAATGTATTCATCTGACAACTTTTCGGCGACCACCTCCAAGGGTTGAGTCAGCCAACCTCAGAGCTGGTTCAGTACGAGGAGAGTAGAGGGGAACAGAGAGTATAAAGGCTGACATCACCCTTGGGCAGGTGCATGGAAAGTTCCATCCCCAGCTGGGGGCTCAGCCTGCTTCCTGGGCCTGGACCTGAAGTCCTGGTGGGCCTTGGCTGAAGCCCTAGCCTCTCGTGGGCGTTGGGCCTCCCTTGCAACTCCTGCCTGAAGCCACAAAGTCAGGAAAGAGGTAGAGTCTGGGAATCTAAGCTACTGAAAGAAAGATCTGGCCCCATCAGAAGGGGCCCTGGTGACTTTAAGTGCCCGCCTCCTTGGCAGAGCCTCACTTCCTCCCTGCTTTCAGAGAAGCCTTCAGCCCACACTCCAGCGAGGAGTGGTGTGCTTTGCTGCTATTTTTGCCTTTGGCTGCGGGGCTCTCAGGGATGCTTACTTGTTTGGCTTCCCCTCCAGAGTGGGTTTTGCGAATCACTTCTGAGAGGCACTCAGAACGTTCCTTTCCTTTTGTCTCCCTATCCTGACACTTCTAGCTGAGCTCCACCTACGGGAAGATTGGTGTGAAAGTCTTCTTGGTGAACATTCATGGTAAGAGAAGCAGGACATTTGGAGATTGAAACATTGGCGAGGGGGTGAGGTGGGAACAGGTTGGAGGGATGCTGAACAAGGGGGTAGAGATGAGAGCACCCACATATTCCCCCAACTACTGCCTGCTCATAAGAGCTTCGGACAGAAGTCAGAAGACACTGGCCAGACTACGTAAACCTCCCAGGGATCTCAACAGCAGAGTGGGAGACCATGGAGCTAAAGGACAGCTAGGATTCTAATTTTCCCCTCCACTAATTTGCCATATGTCCTTGGCCAAGTCATTTTCTCTGCCTAGGGATCAGTTGTCACCTATGTAAAATGAGGTTGACTAGGTGAATTTGGGGGTCTTCTCTAAATCTGAAAGTTCATGAATAGTAAAACACACATACCATTACTACTCAGGGAATGCAGATATGCAGTTTTATATGCACGCAATTTCCAAAGGGCACATACACAACCAGAGGATGTGTCCACAGAGCAGTGGACTTTCACATCCACATAGAGTTCAGGGACATGAACACATAGCAAGAACACAGACACACAAGAGAGTGTGAAGGGATATCTACTCGCACACCCCGTTCACCACAGAGGACCAGAGCCCTTCCAGGGGGCCTATCCAACTTCAGAACTGGCCTAAGGCAGGCCCAGGCTTGATGGAGGCCCTGCCCGGGGAGAGAGAATCTGTGATGGCAATGACGGGCTGTGCATGTGCTCCAGGGTTAGGCCAGAGGGTTCCTCCCACCTCACTGACACTCCTCAGGAAATCAGCTCTAAGATTTGGTACTAGTAAGAGCTCCACCACACACTGGAAGTTGCAGGAAAGTCCTGGGTAAGCAGGAGGAAGGATGGACCCTCAGAGGATAGAACTGGCAGCAGCCTTCTCATGAACATTTTAGTGTTTCCCTCTTGAATGACCACAAAGTACCGACTCCCTGAATCAAACTACTTCCTTCTACCATGGGTTGAAGGTTCAGCATCCTCGAGCTCATGTTGCCCTCTGCTGTCCAGAACTGATATTGCAAGGCCAATGCCACAGCCCTCTGAGGCCAGGAGAGCAACCTTCAGCCCTCTCTCTCCATTCCTTTCCCCAGCCTCCCTCACCCCCACCGCCAGCTCCAAGCCACAATGACTGTCATCTTCCTGAAGGTGGTCTTTTCCTTCCAGCCCAGGTGTACAACGACATTAGCCATGGAGGCGTCTTTGAAGATGGGTGTCTAGAGCGCAACCACATCTTTCCCAGCATACACGACGCAGTCCTCTTTGCCCAGGCAAATGCCAGAGAAGTGGCCCCAGGATGTGACTTCCAAGGGGTAATATCTGGGCACCTGGGGAATCCTAGGCCCCAGGACACTGAGATAGCAGGACCAGGGGGCATTAGAAAGAACACTGGAGAAGTTTGGTGTTCCAAAACCAATTCTGAATCTCAGTTTCCTTCCCTGTGGAATGGACACCCAAAACAAACATTACCTACCTCAAAGGGTTTTTCTTTTGTTTTTGTTTTAGGAATGATAGTTATATCCTTTATATCACTTGAAAGTGCTTTGTATATTATAAAATCTTTTATGAATATTAATGTACAGATAAGAAAACAAAAAGGAAAGAAATGAAGAAAAAAAAAATTTCATGTCGAGGTCCCCAAACACCCAAAGCATATTGGTTATGCCCAGTTTTCTTTGCTCACTCCCCCTCCTCACTAGAAGAGGCTTTGGGGGAGGGAGAGGAGGAAGCCTGCCTGTTTTAATTTATCAGAGCTTGCAGATTTCAGGCTGGTGATGAATGAAGAAACTGGGTCCGAGTTTTGTCTCAGTTTCTTGACATTTAATTTACTAGCTCAGTAAGTGGTATGCAAATGAGCTACAAATAACACTGTCTAGGATTCCATGAAGCTGGGGAGGCAGAAAAAGCCCACCCCACTGGGGTCCCTGCCCAGGCCTTCCCTGCAACCCCCAACCTCCCAGAGTCCCCTCCCAGCTCAGCCCTGTCCTTGACCTCCCGAGACTCTGTGTCCCAGCCCTTGATAAAGCCCTATCCTGCCATCCGTGGGTCATCGGAAAGCCTTTTCTGGCCTGAGAACAACCATTTGCTCTTTGCTTTAAGAGACTGATGACAGAGAAGCCATCTGTTCTGAGTGCTGAGAGACTGCCCAGGAAAACACAGGACCTTGGCTCCCGCCCCTGACACGTAGAGAGAAACTATGCAGGCGCACAGTTAATAACCCCTGTCCGCACGGCAAAAAGGACAATTCTGGAAGGATCCTTCTCACTTGTTATTGTACAAATAACATCCAGTTATTACAGTTTATATATTTAAAATAATGTATATTATATGTAATATATTTACATATTACAGAATATATTTATACATCTAAATCACACCACACCCTTTTCAAAGCAGCAAAGTGAGTGTGATGAGGAAACAGAGGGACATAGATTCCCCAAAGTCAGGCAGCTGGCCAGGTACAGGCAGAGTCCGGCTATATTTTGTGAAGCAGGGGAGGGAGGGAAGGCAAGGGGCAGGAGAGCAGTTTTGAGTCAGAAAACGCGGTGTCACTGAAAGCCTGCCATTTGCACCAGGCTTTGTGGCTTAGTCAGGGAGCTCATTCTGCTCTGGTTTTCCCTCCCTAGGCCCCAGTGGACCCTGAGATCTTCTTATACGATGAGGAGGAGGAGACCTCCAGCTACTGGGACTTAGAGCAGGTGAGCTAAGG